AAGCTCTTAGATAGATGAAAATAAGGGTTGTTAGTTGCCTTGAATATCGGGATGTTGTTGGCATTGAACTTCTGCGGAAGAAGATCCTTGTCCACCGAGACCCCTTATGAACTAATGCCTTGAAACTTATTCGCTAGATAGCTTGCTCAAGCTTTCTTGCATGAGGTCCATCTGTTGTTACTTCATAAGGTCATTGATTTTGAGGGTTAAAGACTTCAACGCCTCAGTCACGTCAGTCAATTGATTACTAAGTTCACTGACTTCCTCCTGGGGTGCCATTATCTTCTTAGCGTTCCTTTTCCGAGCGATTGGTTTGTCGAAAAGTTGAACTTGAATGAAAAGGTTGTCTTTGATCAAACGCCCTTCCTTTCTTGACCACGCGCTGTAAATTAAACCATTTATTTTAATAACTTGACTCAAATTGACTTTGACTTTACAGGTTTATAAAGAAAAAGAAAAAAAAGCAAAAATAAGGTGAATATTTTTGGGAATCAAGTATAAGGTTCAAACAAGTGGTTTAATTGGAGGATTAATATCCAACTTACCCCCTAAAAAAATGACGAAAAACACGCGCATACAAGACTCTCTTAGACATGGTCAAAGTTTACATACATATTAGTGTGTGCTTTATATGGTGAGGTCAAGGGACGTGCTTTGACTCTTGTGTAAGACCATGGGACTTAGTGCCTGGACTCGATTAAGGACTTAACAAGGTATTATTATTTATAAAGTAATCGAATTGATTAGCAAACTGTTTTAATTAGACACAAAGTGATGATTCAAGCAACATACCGAACTGTCGCCAAAGCAATAGGACTGGCGTTGCACTTTGCATTGTAGCGCCAGCCGACAGAGCTGTCGCCAGACGCTGCACTACACAGTGTGGCGCTGCTGTCCAAATCGCGGCGCCATTGCTGGAACGTGGATCTGGGACTGCTTACGGTATTATTACTCTACAGGGTATGCCTAAAGTCGTACTAACTCAATTCTGATTAAATTATTAGACTTTAATTACTTAATTAATTTGACAAAAATCTTGTAGTCATTAATCAGTTTATTTAGTCTTAACACAAGTCAAACAAACGGTTAGGAAAAACACATAGAGTATGCACAACAAATAATGCACAATTAGTCAAGTACGCACAATATGATTCAATGAGTTCGCAACCTAACCATGGCTCTAGTTCTCTAAAGTTCAGGATATGGGTTATTCAAAGAGGGTCCATGGTTAATTGTGCAGATGCACCGCGCGGAAGCCTTACCTTTTGAAGAATTGGCGCGAGTGGATGGGACATCGCGAATTAAAAACTCGATTCCATTGTTTGGTTAATTCAACATTCTCGGATGTACCATTTGTTGCACAGAGCGTTCAATCAGGTAGATGGAGAATGAATTCCTAGAGGGTTATGTCCATATGTAGAACACATATGAGTTTCAGAAAAGTGAGAAAAACTCAATCAGGAAGTAGGATCGAGCAAACAGTGCTAAAAACTGGTCAAAATTAGAACTCATATTTCTGGCTCGGTATTGCAAGAACATGGCGCCAGCGAACAGAGGCCGGAGCCGCTATTTGGCTTTGGCGCCTGGCGACAAAGTCAAATTTGCGGCGACAAATTCTGTTTTCTGACTCTAGTTCCTACATGCCTTAGTAGCTTTCTATGCTTGATACAGTTTTCCTATGTTTTTAACAAAATTACGGATGGTCTTTCCAATGAGATCTTTTTATGCATATGAAAATAATGTTAATCAAAATTATGCACATGAAATACATAGAACTTTTCGATTCGCATCCACTCATTCTAAATCGTTGCCAAAATAAATTTTAGGAATTAAAATAGAAATTCTCTCCAGTGCAGTCGCCAAACACTGTAGGAAATATTTCAAGCATTACCCCAAACTTGAACCCCACTGTGATCATACACTAAAGTACGGTGGCATCCAAAGGGAAAGAATATAGAGAAAAAGAGTTGCCAACAAGTTTTAGGAACTTGTAAACCGTTCACAAGGTGAAGGTTACACCCCTTAACGATCTAGGAAATTGTCAAATCCAATAGGTCTGGAACCATGACTTGTAGTTTGGGGATGAAGGTACAAATATAACCTAAAAGAGATTGAACCTGCCCTAATAATAGACCTCTACTTTATTCTGATCGTATTCATGTGCGCTTTCTAACTAACATGCAATCAATAGGATTAACCCTAAACCTGTTTATCTATGTTGGTTGAATTTAATGCACAAACAAATCTATTATAGGCGATCACTTAAATTATAATCAAATTAACCATAAACAAGATTATTTATTATCTTATATAAGCGTGATTACAAGTACGAATTCCCTTTAAACATGCATAAAAGGTGTGATCAAGCAGTAAGAATAAATATAATCAAGCAACATAATAATAATCATAATAAACATAATCATAATAATAATTAAAATCATAATCATGTTAAAGCATAATAATAGCAAGATTCTTACCATGATACTAACAAGATTAATAACAAATTCTAGAATGTAATGAAATATCAAAGATCAAATATATAGCCCAAACATGATACTAACATGAATATTAGGAAAAGAATAGGAAGCATCGCAAGAATCACAATTGTCATATTTGATATTAGAAATTATAGTTATTACCCTAAACATGATACTAGGAATCATAATACCAATATAGACATGATTTCTATGTCATAATATCAATAAAATCAATTAAATCACTTACTTAGATGTGTCGTACCTTTTTCTAATAACAAAATACACACGTTAGTAACTTCAAGGAAAATAATAATAAAAAAACTAAATTAAATAATTGAAATAGTGATTTGGGACCAAACCCTGTGAAATTAAAACCTTTCACGTCTAGGGCGAAGGCAATTTCGAACTTGGCTAGGTGTTTTTAGATCTTGTGAATGCGGAAATTTGTATGCAAAAGGCTAATTTAGAAAAAGGAGAGAGAGAGAGTTATCAAGAAATTCTTGATGAGAGTTGGTGATTTTTGATGATTGGAAATGTAGGTTTTAGGAGGCTATTTATAAAGAAAATCAGCCGGATATGATAAAAAACGAATCAGAGTTTCGAAAAGAATAAAACAACGTGGCGCCAAACGCTGGAGTCCAGCGCCAAACGCTAAAGTCTAGCGCCAGACGCCTGGCATGGCACCAGGCGCTGGTCCTGCCGTCAGACGCTGGAAATAAATTTCCACACGTTTTCTTAATTTGATAAAATTTAGCCGTACGAGTGGGAAAAATCGTATTTTCCTTAAAAACACTTCTTTTATTCTGATTAAAACTCTAAAAAGTCAACTAAAGTCAATTTATCAATGCTAATTAAATTAGGAATGAAAAGAACCTTCTAGAAAAATCTAGAACACTATAATCAATTCTAGTTGCATTAGGAATGATAAATCAATATTAGGCCCTCCTCTAGATCATTGTGCCGCTTATATATATCAAACCAGGCCCAGTCTATAATTTGGCTATAACTTCCTCATTATTCATCGGAATTGGGCTTATAATATATCGTTGGAAAGCTCCTTTCAAACCCGACCCAATTACACTATTATCGGACCCTTGCCATGGACTAAACAAAAAAAGATTGGCTGTTTTCTTAAAATAGGTTTTCAAAAACAGAGAGAAAGAAGAAAAAAAAAACTAACCGCAACACTAGACTTTCCACACTTTCACTCCATTTAATTATGATTTGACTTGAAAGGTACTCATCACCGAGTTTGGTTTGAAGGAGACACAAATGGGTGTCTACAAGAGGCAAGTCAAGGATCAAACCCAAAGGAACGATAATGTTCAAGCGCTCTCAATTATGTGCCTAAGCTAGGTCGAAGACAAAGATAAAGAGAGAACACTAACAACTAAAAAACAAAGATACCAAACAAATAAAGCACTAAAAACAGGGATCAACAAGCAATCATGACAATTGTAGCAACTCGGGAACAATATGCAAATCAAAGGTTGTGAAGACAAATGGAAAGCTCAATCAAAAGAGTCAACAAGCTATCTCCTAGAGGTCAAACTAGCGCTAACTACGAGAGACTCTAACTAGGAGCATTACTAATCAAGCTCAATCGACAATTGCAATTCCTAAATCAATGGTCTGTATCATTAGAAACTACAATGCAATCTAGCATAATTCTCAAGGCCTAATCGAATTACACACATCCAAACTTCCATTAATCACTTTAATCTCAACAATTAATCAACACAATCCCCAAATTAAGCATAATCAATCAATCATACAAGTTTCACCTAATTCCTAGCAGACAACTACTCTAACATCATCATCAAATCAACTAACAACTAATGAAATCAAGAATCAACAGTATATGAAGAACAACTACACTAATCCTAAAACTAGAGAGAGAAGCTCTCAACAAATATGAAATAGAGAAGATCTCCAACACAATTGTCACCATTGAATATTCAATCTCTCAATCAGCATTGAAATTCCTCACTTTATCTCTCTAAAATCTACTCCTAAACTAATCCTAAAACTAGAGAGAGAAGCTCTCAACAAAGCTAAGAAAAAATGATAAAAAATGTGAAATAATACTTATTCTAAACTTGCCCAAAAAATCGGGTTTACAAAGGTATTTATAGAAGCGCGAAAACAAAAACCTAGCAAAAAGATACCTAGGAAGGCGCGCCTGCGCTGCAGGGGAGGTGCACCCGTGCTCTAAGTGTTATTGTCTCTAAGTGTTCTCAGCGCGGTCCTCAAATTCTTCTTATGTTCTTCCTCACTTTTCAAGTATACCAAAATATCATAATTAAAAACAGCCACAAACTTATCAAAATATTCATGGAATACTCGATTCATCAAATCCATAAAGATTGCAGGTGCATTGGTCAATCCAAAAGGCATGACTATAAACTTATAGTGCCCATATTTAGTCATAAAAGCAGTCTTAGCAATGTCCTTATCAGCAACTCTCAGTTGATGGTACCCCGAACGTAAATCAATCTTGGAAAACACACTAGCTACCTTCAATTAATCAAACAAATCATCGATCCTGGGCAGTGGGTACTTATTCTTTATCGTCACATTATTCAACTCCCTATAGTCAATGCACAACCTCATGCTCCCATCTTTCTTCTTCACAAATAAAATAGGTGCTCCCCAAGGAGATGCACTTGGCCTAATATATTCTTTATCCAACAATTCTTGCAGTTGTACTTTCAACTCTCCCATCTCAACAGGTGCCATTTTATATGGTGCCTTAGAATTTGGTGCTGTTTTGGGAACAAAATCTATTGTAAACTCCAATTCCCTCTCTGGTAGAATTCTAGAAATCTCTTCAGGAAATACATCCAAAAACTCATTCACAATTGGCAGATCTTCCACATTCACCTTATTACTCTTTTCCAAGTCTTGCACAAAACAAAAGAACAAAGGATACCCTTTACTCACAAGTTTTGACAACTTCATTACAGAAATAATCCCAATACCTTTTGGTTTTCCAAAACCTCTATAAGATACAATCCTTCCCAAAGGACTTTTCAAATGAACCTTTTGTATATCACAATCAATTTTAGCTTTATAAATGGGTAACCAATCAATTCCCAAAATAACATCAAGTTCACCTAACTCAAATTCTATAAGAACAGATGGAAAATCAGTCTCTCCAATCCTCAAAGGTAAACCCTTATGCATCTTAGTGCACCTCACAACTTCACCTGTAGGTAAACTAATAGGAAAGTTTATTGGGTTCGGTTCAACTAGTCCTAATTGTTTCACAATAGAAATAGAAATAAAAAAATAGGTGGCTCCAGAATCAAATAAAGCTTTAACAGAAATAGAATGAATATAAAAGTTACTAGTGACAACATCATAAGACCTTTCGGCTTCCTTCTTGCTCATCACATACAAACGACCTGGAGTGACATTCTTTCCTTGATTCCCGAAGATGTTGTTGCCAACAATTCTGTTTTTTGCTTTCACATTTTGACCATTCAAATTCCCTCCTTGATACCTTGTTATAGTAAACTTGTTCCCATTTCCTTCTTGTTACAAAACCTATACACAACCAAGTTCCCATTACAATCCTTTCCAAGATGATCCTTGCCACATCTCTTGCAGTTGTATTGCCTTTCAGCTTGGTCATCAGGTCTAGAAGATCCTCCATTGCTCTGAACATCCTTACTCTTGAAATTCTCGTTCCTTGGATTTTTAAAGTTACCTTGATTACTCAAATTTCAAAAATCCTTACGTTTTTCTCCAACACTCCCACTTCCACTCTCAGGTGCACTCTTGACATTCAAACTGTACAGGTGCACTGCACTCCCACAAACTTTATCAAGAGTCTTAAGGTATTTCCTGCCAAGTCCTTCTGTAACTGCTTAGTCAAACCTTGCTCAAATCTTTGAGCTTTCAACTCCTCAGTAGGCACTACTTTAGGAACAAACCTCGACAAGTTCATTAACTTCTTATAGTACTCAATAATCGACATATTGTTCATTTGCAGATTGATGAACTCTTCACCCTTTTGCTTCCTTAAGAATGGTGGATAGCACTTCTCCCTAAGATTGGTTTTGAAAGTCTCCCAACCAAAGTTAGCTTGAGCATGAAGCACATTTCCATTATCCCTCCACCAAATATCTGCCTCTTCCTTCAAATACATGATAGCTTGATCCATTCTCATACTCAGAAGACAATTCAAAGCAGCGAAGATCTTATCGAACTCCCTAATCCAATTCTCTAGAAAAGTTGAGTCTCCACCTCCTTTAAAGTATGGTGGTTTGACCTGAGCAAGATTCTTAAACATCTTACCCGCAGGATCAGGATTATTATTGCGATTTTGGTTCAAATTCTCAGCTTGTAGCCTAATAAAATCAACTAAAGTATCGATGTTAGCCATCCAATTTCTCTGCCAGGAAGTATAACACACTCTTAGGCCAATGTCAACACAAAAGAACTTTACTTGCATAACACATCACATTCAAAAAATATATTAAGATAGAAAGGTAGGTAAGGCCACAAGTCACCCCTAATAAGTCACATTTAAAGGAAATGATTATTAAATATTAATCATTCCTACGCACAAGAAAATGAATAAAATAATTCCCTTGATTTAATCCCTTCAAAAATCCAATCATTAAGTAAATAATATAATAAAAATAAACACATTATAATAGTAGAAAAGTACTCAGAGCATCTCAAATATAAAAGCAATTTGAACCCTTTCAAGGTCGTCTATGACGTAAGAATTAACATTGAAGATGACCTTGCAAAACAAAAAGCTGCTAACAACTCCAATTGTGGCTGGAAAAGAAAGAAGAACGACAATCCTTCTTCATCCAAAACTACCCACTCAAATAATGTTAGCACCTTTAATCTGAATGAAGTCCTAGCTATGAACAACCAAGGACAAAAGAAGCCATTTAGGAGAAACTTCACACCTATTGGCATGAGTTATGACACCGCATTTGATCGCCTTCATGCAAAGGGTCTTATAACTCCCATTGGACCATTTTGGGATCGCCTAGTCGAAAAGATTACAGCTAGTTGGAACCCCAATGCACATTGCAAATACCATCAAGGTAGGGGCCATCTTACTGAAAATTGGTGGAAGCTATTCAAGATCTCATCGATAATAACAAACTTTCATTGCTTCCTGTAAGCAAGAAGCCAAGTATTTATAGTGATCCACTTTCAGATTCCTTGGCTATTTCTTATGAGGAAAATCATGTCGATCCAAGAACCCTCATTAAACCCGTTGAAGAGATACAAGCCATTGAAGAAGAGGAAGAAACCTTTTTCGATGACAAGAAGCACATTATAGGTGAGTTTCCTGCTAGTAAAGACGAGGTATGACACCTATTTTTTAGATCAGTTTAGGTTCTTTTGTTTTTCTGACTGCCTTTTGCCTTTTTGTTTTGTTAGGGTTTCAACTTAGCTTCTCTTTGCAAGTTGTAACCTTTTCTCTTTTGGTAATAATATTACTTATTTGCCAAAAAAAAGAGGTATGACACCTCATAAACACGTTGAAAGAGGCAATCGATATATGTCACGAGAAAATTGACCATCTAAAAATGGTTCAAAACAACCGTGATATGGAAAAAATGACAACTACTAAGACTGCTGAGAGAAAACCCTCTTTTCTCCATGTAGTAAAAAAACCTAAAAGGAGAAATAAGTCTTATACTCTAATTGGGACCTCTTATGTAAATATGTTTCAAAAGCTCTTTGAGAATGGATTAAACCTCTCGAGCCAAGACCTTTTGAATCACTAAAATAGACAAATAGATTTTGTTGTCCATACCATCAATCAGAAGGACATACCATTTAACATTGCTTTAAATTCAAGAATCTAATCCAAGGACTAATTGATAGCAAGAAGTCGGTTAAAGTAAGTCCAGAAAAAGATGTTAGTATTAATGGAGTTAAGGAATGTGATGATGAGGATGTCTACCTCAAGGAATTGGAAGAAAACCCACTTTCCACAATCTATCCAGTAGATGACATTTGGGATGAAGAAGATTCACCCATAGATGTCCTCACAAGATCAGGGAGAATGCAACCTCTTATTGCAACACAACCTATTCCAACTGCCCAACAAATTCCCATACCCATCATAGAAGATAATGATGTTTTCAAACAACTCAAGAAGATATGGTCGAGATGAACGTATGGAAACTACTAGCCATATCCCGTGAGCATAGAGTCACAGTAATTGATGCCTTGGATAAAGTAGGAATAGATTCTGAAACCACTCCTTAGGGGTTAGCTAATTTCCTTACGAGTGATCTTCCAAGTCCCATCAACCCAATCACTTATACTGACAAAGATCTATCTCTAGAAGGTGATAAACACTATAAAGCCTTAAACCTCACAATAATCTGTAAGAGAATGAATGTCCTAATGACTATTAGATAATGGGTCAGCAATCAATGTTTGCCCTCTTCGAACTGCGAGGATGTTAGGAATAAGAGATAAAGATTTGTATCCGTCTACACAAGGAATAAGGGATTATGACAACACTTGTTGCCAAGCTCTTGGGACTATAACCATTAATGTCACGGCAAGATTCATTGAGCATGCTACTACTTTCCAAGCGGTAGATATCAAAGGTTCTTTCAATTTGTTGTTGGGACGCCCTTGGCTTCATGACCTTAAGGTCATCCCTCCATCAACAAGTTAAGGCCATTGTTGGAGAAATTCCTGTAACAATCGATTCTTCACCAATGAGAATTAAGGCAATTGATAAGCCTATTATAATTATGGAGCTTGATGAAAACGATGAAGACTTATGGGGCATTAACGCAGAAGAGGTCTCCTTTATCGATGAAGATGAAAAGACCCCTCTTCACTATGACCTCCATTCGAACATGATAGTCAATAGTATACTCTGAAAGCAAGGACACTGTCATGGAATGACTCTAGGAAAAAAGAAAGGAGTAGCAACGCAAATGGGATCACTTGGCCTTCCTAAATTAGATAGTTTTGAACTGACTCCGAAAGACTATAAGTGTAGTACCTCGTATTTTTATATGTATTTTAATTAAAATAAGTATTTTAAGAAGTATTAAATAAAATCACATTGTTTTATTTAAAGTATTTTAATTATTTATTTAAAATAAGTTTGGAAATATTTATAAAAGGAAAGTTTATTTAATTAAGTAATTAATTTATTTAAGTTGGGGTTTAATTTAAGTAAAGTTTTTTTTTAAATAAAGTTTTATTAGGGATGGGATTAAAAGAGGAAATATTCCACACATGAGGCAAATCAAACTTTGCTCAGAGTGGAGAAAACCCAAGGTAAACTTCTCTCTCCTTTCTCCTCATTTTTCTTTCTTTTTTTTCTCTTTTTCCCTTCCCCTTTTTCTTCCTTTCGGTTCTCCTTCACCACCACTGGCCAACCACCAGCAGCGGTGGCCGCCAGCAGCCGGCAGCAGGCAACCATCGGCGCCGGCAGCAGCCTTGTGGTTGTCGGCTGCCATGGTTTGAATAAAAAAAATAGAATCTTTATTGTTAAAAACCAATTTTTCCTAAATCTAATTGCTAATTATGATTTTTAGTATTTGATTTTTTATGTTTGATTATGAGTATTATGTTAATTAATTTCCAGATTATGTTTCTAATTAAAAAAAGCCCTAATTTTTAAAACCCTGGGTTCTTTATTTATAAATTATTGAAGGGTTATGATGTATAATGGTTTAGACATTTGATTAAAGTGTTTTAAGGCTTAATTATAGTAAGTTTTAATTAAAATATAGTGCTTGAATTTTTAGTAGAGCATTTAAAATCAAGTTTCTTTTAGGAATTTTAATTACCCATTGATTGGTATTAAAGTATGATGTTTTAAATATAATTTCAGCTTATTTTAATTAAATTATGAGGGGTTTTATAATAGTATATATTGCTAGAAATTTGTGTAGAGAGGAATTTAATACTCTTCTATGATTTTAAATTGTAGGAGACTTTGAAGTGAGCGATTTCTATTAGCCGTGGCTATTTTAAAATCGTATACAAGATACGTTCGTTTACTTAACATAATTACATTGACGTAGTAGCATGCTAAATGTGTTTAATTGATTACAAGTAGTATCATGCTAGGTTTGGATTGGAAAATATGATTTGAATGTTACCGGTGATTGGATTATGAAGCATGATTTACTTGTGATAGATTATTGAATGGAAAATAATAATTTAAATTATTATTTAGGAGCCACATATTTAATTGTGGCATGTTAGAGAGCAGGTTTAATCAAACTAAATGTTTAATTTTATTTGGAATATTGAAAAGGAATTTTATTATGGTTCATATACTTTTTATTGATGCTATAACCATGAGGAAAGAGTTATATAATAGTCTACGTACACGACGAATAAATTGTATGTTGGTGCCTTAGTGCACTAAAGGTGTTTTTAACACCGAGGGATAGGTTTTGTGGTGCTTTATGCGTTTAAGGTGTCATTGGTACCGAGATAGAATTAAAAAGGATTAAACATTAAATATTATGTTGTCACTAATTATTCAAGAATTAAATTGGTATATTTGATTGTTTGAATAATTATTGTTGATTGAATGATTATGGTTGGAGAGTCATCACCAAGTTTAATAATATGTAAATAACGTAAAGTGAAAGAGATTACGCACCAATACTCTAGGAACGTATACACCTTGAGTATGAACATATGGGGGGAGTTATGTGACTTTATATTTGATCATAACTTCTACAGGAGTACGGAACGTTGTACATTCCTTTTATTGGTATTATGCGTAGGAATTCCGCCGCCTATGAATGGTTATTGATGCCGGCACGGTTAGCTCTCGTGTCAGTAACCTCAACTTATTTGGGGGAGGTTGAGTGGCAAAACGCGTTCAATGCATAGTCGGCATTAAATTACGCTAGTAGAAAATTGTAAAAGGGCACCGGTTCAAAAGCCCCCTATAGCACAAGTTTTGAACTGGTGTTTATTTGAGGGATGCCAAAAAGTGAAAGTTTTTGCCTCCGGTTCAGAACTGGTGGCAATAACACATTTATTAGCATCGGTTCAGTTCAAAACCGGTGCCAATAATACAGTTTTTTGCACCGGTTCGGTTCAGAACTGGTGCCCTTAATGCCTCAAAAAAAATAATATTTTTTTTTGCATTTTCTTACTTAAATTGATATATAAAACTTACATATATATAAACTTATAACTTTTATTAATATACAGTTGTAACATTACAATTTTTTGAAAAAAAAAAAGAAAAAAGAATATAGTTTTATATTGCAACAGATCGACTGTAATAATATTACAACAATAGCGTAGAGCAGATTGGCAACAGCAACGTAGAGTATAGCAACAACATCTGCAGGAGCATAGAAGCAGTGGCCTAGACTAGAAGAATAGAAAGAGCATAGTAGCGGG